GGCGCAGATAAGGTATTTTGGAGGGAACTCAACCTGTTGGAAGAAAAGGATTGTTATCGTTTCGTTAGGTTATTGCATTTTACTCACATTATCACCAATTATAAAGTTTATTACACTAGACAATTGTGTGCCTAGTACTCTTTCCTTGGGATTAAATAGTTTGGAATACTTATTCTTACACAAACTGCACGTATCCATTCTGGTTATTTTCCTGAAGCCGACTTTAATAAAAAATCGTGGTTCACGTCTCTTCTTCATGTTCCACGGACAGCATTGGGAGCGGTGAGGTCAGTGCACGGACTCCACCACTTTATTGGTAGATCTACCTGTGTTGCCAGAAAATTTACCAAATTCCTCAAAAACAAATGAAAAATCCTCAAAATCCGAACAAATTAGTCAAAATTTTCTTATTACAGATATAAGTATAGTGCATAATATTTACAGGTACTTAGTATAAAAATTAATTACATTCTCCAATTCAATTGGTACATTTGTTCGGTTCAAACGAAGTATCACCTTTATTTTCTCCTCTTATCCACACAAAACCGGTTTTAGGCTGACTGAGCAGTCCAGTGTGCGGAGGCCCAATAACAAGAAGGCACAACTCGTTATAATTGTGGCGAAAGTGCGCAACAGAGGCGTGCCTTCTCTTTTCATCCAATCAAAAACCGCACTAGGGCAAAAGAGAAGGCACGCCCCAGTTGCGCACTTTCGCTACAATTATAACGAGTTGTTCCTTCTTGTTATCTATGTTCTTTGATTAGACAGGCAAACGGGTTGTTTGGTCAGCAAAAATGTATGGGATAAAAATTGCATTAACTAAGAATTTCGAGTAAAGGATTGTACGCACACATGCAGATATGTGCATGCACTGCACGACAAAGGAGACGGACGTCGTGGAGCTAAAATTTAATTAATACCCTGAAGACGATCTCCGGAGGAGATTGAAATATATTGGGAAATAATGTATTTTCATGTGTTTTAATTCCATTAACACCCTGACCTCAAGCCGGCATTAAAAAGGATTATTTTATTAAAATCAACACATTGTTTTTTTTTTTTTATTCACAACTGCATATCGAGAATTTAATCTACCACAAACTCAGCTTTGACTCATATAGTGCAAGAAATGTCCACCAAAATATTTTTTACTTAGAAAATTGAACTAACTTCACCACTCACGACACCAGCATGCTGGTACAATCATAAAATTTTCAAATAGTTTTTGAAGTCACACGAGCAGCTGGTACAATCACACCACAAGAACATACACGGTCAATCGACTTGATGGGCTATTTAACAAATTAGGGCCGTAACCTTATCTATTTTAAACGATAGTTAAATCGTTAATAGATAAGTCAACAGCCTAACACTTTTAGATTATGTATGTATAAAAACGTAAGGAACCTATAATACGTATATGTATTTCTTAGTTTAAAAATTCATCTCTATCATAAATGAAAAACACTGAGATAAAATTAAGCATATACAACTTTTTCATGCCAAGTATGAATAAATTCTCCAAAGGGTCAAAAAAAGGGCTAGGGGCAATTTTAAATTTATGTGGCCAAAAAAACTATGTGGTAGCTAAGGCCCGGTTATTCAATGTCTGGTTATCACTACCACTACACTATCGACGATTTCGACATCATGCATGTAACATGTGATCGATAAAGCAGTAGTTGTGCTTAACCGGAGCTTCTACCTCCGATTTGTGCTAATCAGACATTGAACAACCGGCCCTAAATCTAGCCACCAAACGGCTAAAACGGCAACACTGCTCGCGAATTGCGCAAGGTCAGAGCAAAGTAACGAGTGCGCGAGGGGCTAAAATGAGGTGACTCCGAACCCTGAAGACAAGGTTCTCTCTCGCACCGCTCCTTAGACTACTAAGTGTTGCTTCTTTGCAAATTTACTTGGAAAAAGTGTACCTTTGCTGTGAAATGAAGTACAAGCTTTTATGCAATATGTTTATTTGTATATGCATATGAAGCACATTTAACTGCTGAAAACATAAATATTTTTTAAATTGGATGTTTACATAAATCTTATAGTAGTTTTATTTTAATTTTGAGTCCTTTTGCAGTTTTTATATAGCTAAATAGCACATAAATTACGTAATTCACGTATACGTATTAATATTCTGTTTAAAATGCCAGATTTCCTGCAAATACATTAGAATTTACAAAAGGAATTTCCAACTAATTGCCTACTTTGTGTACTTTTCTACTACCATTTTCGCAACAAGGGATTGCATTCTCCCCCTTTCTCTGTCCTTCGTAAATTCAACCTTTTGTATGGGAATCTCAAACCGCGGCTGTCAATAATTATCTAACCTTGTATTATTGAATCATGATTATTTCCGATTGCGATTTCCGAAAAGTGACAGAAATTTGTATAAGTTAGCTTTTTTTGTTGTCAGCTCAGAGTGCGTACAATGAAACGTCGAAGCGTCATCCGGTTTGGATGCATCTTGGTTTTGTGGCCTGTCAACTTCTTCATCCGCTTTCTCTTTACTTTGGTCTTCCCATTCTTCTTCATTGTTTTCATCCTGCTCGTTGTGCGAAGAGCCACTTTTTGATCGGCCTTTCTTAAAATTTCTAGTGGTGGTCAAGCATTTTGAGAGATGTTTTACAACAATTTCTGTGCTTATCAGACCCACCGAACATTCGGTGCAGATTAGGTATTTTGGAGGGAAATCAACCTGTTGCAAGAAAAAGGTTTGATATTATTCCCATCACGTTTATGCATTTTACTCACCTCATCACCAATTATAAAATTTATTGCACTCGACAATTGCGTGCCTAGTACTCTTTCATTAGGATTATAGAGCTTGGAATACTTTTTCTTACACAAACTGCACGTATCCATTTTGTTAATTTTGCTACCTCAATCAAGGCGTATCAACTACAGGTGATAGCGATAGGAGCCATGCTTCTTCTTACTGCCATACCTAAACAAAAGCGTCAGCGCTAGGAATGTTCGATATCGTATCGATTATTCTGAATATCGATATTTCATGGCACTATAATCGATTTTTTGAATCGATATTCCAAGTCGATATATCGAAGACATCGATACTTTGTCCGCAATATCGATATTTAAGTTGAAATTTATTTTTAATCTACAAAAAAGTGTATAGGAAAAATACTAAAGTAGGTTTAATCAGCAGCTTGTGTGATTTATTTAGCTCTTAAGTTTGACAAACCGCTTGCGTCGACCGGCATGCCGTTTTAATCCTCAGTAAATATACAAGATGGAAATAACACAATTAGGTGAGTTGACAGGCAGGTCTAATATTCTATTCAATTGGGAGTAGGATTTTCAACATCCATTTTTCCGATATCGATATTGTTCAGCCCAATATATCGCCATATCGATTTTACATGCAATGAATTAAATCGATTCATGATATTGATACATTCTTAAATATCGAACATTCCTAGTCAGCGTTGTCTGGCTGTCAAAAAATTCTCATGCCCATACGATTTGTATTGTTACGATTATCCTTGAAACCTCGTCCGGATTTTCCAAATCCTCGTCAACGCTGAGCGGTTCGAAAATCCGATTTTGACCGGACGTTAGGTATTGAAGTTGGCTGCAGAAAACGGCGAAACTGTCATTTTCGTGTTACACACAAACAAACCTATGCTTATTGTTGGTCAAGGATAAATTCGCCTTGTTGTTGGTGTTATTTCTGCATTTGGCGTAGCGTTGACGCTTTAGGTATGTCACTTCGGCGATAACGCTAGACGTCCGAAATCGCTGCTGGGGTAATGGTCCCCGGTCGGAGTGGGTGCTCCGAGTCAATCCGGTAACGTAGAACCGACCATCTTGGGATTGAAGAGACTGATGCTTTGGCTTGATGCATTTCTGAAAGCACCCATTAATAATGTTTTTGACACAAGTTCAAACCAACGGTGAATTTTATTTTTGTACGATAGCTACAACCTGTATCATGGTTGGCCGTTAACAGCTAACAATTGTGTACAAAAGAATTTCTCTGTGTGAACGCGAAGGGCAATAACAAAAGAGAAATTGCCGAAAATGGGCAACAAAAGCTTCTCTGTGTGAACCCAGTCTTGCAAGTAGTTACCAGTTTTATTTTTTAATCAAATCGGTAATTTTGGCTGCTTAACTTTATAATTCCAAACAGTTATTACTTTGTACAATGTGCAAGAATCAGCGTGTAAATGGCTGTCCTTCTTACTGGAAAATTGTTACAAGTAAAAACATGCAACTTTCCCACAAAATGTCACATTCCTTGCATAGGGGGTAAAGCTATTTAGACTGGGGAGGTCTTTATTCTTTTCGCAAAACGTATAAATCAAAAAGGACTACTAAATAAATATTAAAATTGAAAAGTAATGTGCTAAAAGCTAACCTATAATGGCTACAAAATAAAAGTTTTAGAAAGTTCGTCTAAAAAGTATCTCAACTACTTCTACCTTATTTAACTCATTAATTCTGGATGTTTCTCTTTCATATGTTGTTGCATTTTCGAGCGTTTTTGAAACCGTTTCGGACAGCTGGGGTATTGACATTCTAGCTTGGTGTTCAGACACTTCTCACTAAACAGATGAGCCTCATACTTTTCCACGGCACGAAATTTTGCATCACAATTGGGGCAACTTTTTATTTGATCGCCACCATGCTGTTTATCCATATGGTCGCGTAACTTATCTACCGACGAATATGGTTTGCCGCAGACAACGCAAGTCTCCTTTTGCTGAGACTTCTCGCCATTGAGCCTCTGTATATTTTTCGGCTCTTCTTGACTGGATTCTATATGCTTTAAATGCTTAGATTTCTTTGGTGTTTCTTGAACTCGTCGTTTCTTCGCTGCTGTATCTTGATCTTGCCCGGAACCGGAATATATGGGTTGCGAATCACTCACTGTATTCAAATCGTATTGACAATGTTTATTTGTTACGTGGCTCTGTAGTAAGCTGTAGCGCTCGTATGCAGCTGAACAGTAAATACATTTGTAAATATCGCCATCGATTTCACCATGCTGACTGGCCATGTGTGCTTTATATGTTTTTCTCTTTATGCTTTCGAAGTCGCAAAAAGAACATTGGAATACCCACTCGGCAGAGGAAATTGGACTTGAGCTTAAATGATTAAGTTTCCTCTTTAAGGTCGTTTGAAAAGCATGTTCATGTTGGTTTTGTTGCCCATCAGTGATGCTTTTAATTGAAATATTTCCGTTTTGGTACACTGTATCGTTTTCATTATTCACTTCCTGTTCCCCGTGGCCTTCAGTCTCTTCTGGTTCTTTTTGCGCTACTTTAATGACTGCCAAGTCTTCTTTGTCTCCGGTTGTGTAAGTTTCCAAGTCTGCTGCCGCAACAGACTTGCGTCGTTGCAGTTTTGGTTTGGGCTTATTTTCGTGCTCATATGCAATATGATTTTGTAATGCAAATTGTCGTACATATGTGCTAGGGCAGCGCTTGCACTTATAAATCCGCGAATCTTCAATTTCATGCTTGATTTTCAGGTGTTTTTTGTACATTTTAGGATTTACTGTTTTATATTTACAGTCTGTGCACTCGAATTCATAAGGTGCATTCGGATCATCTGCTGCGTTATTCTCGATAGTAGTGTTAGCCATTGAGATTTCCTTGTCCAGTTGACTCTTGATGGTAGTGCTGCTTAGCACAGCCGAGGTATCAAAGGCAATGGTTTTACGTCGCTGGCTTTTTTGGCGTGGTTTATTGTGATGCACACATGCAATGTGATTTTGTATACCATTGATGCGCTGATATGTTTCTTGGCAATACATGCACTGATAGATTCGCGGATTATCCACCTGATGCTCAATTAGCAAGTGCTTTTTGTACAAGTTTGCTTTGTTTGTTGTCAACTCACAGTGCGCACAATGAAAGGTCCAGACGTCACCCGAATTGGAGGCATTTTGCTTTTTTGAACTGTCCACTTCTTCATTCTCATTCTTTTTTCGTTGGTCTTCCCGCTCATCCGTGCTTTCATCCTGCTCGTTGTGTGAAAAGGCACTATTTAATAGGCGTTTCTTAAAACTTTTGTTGCCGGGCAAGGATTTTAAGAGACGTTCTAAAACGAATTCGGTTTTTATAAGGTCCGCCGAGCACTCAGGGCAGATAAGGAATTTTGGAGGGAACTCAACCTGAGAAAAAAGAAAAGGTTTGTTATCGTTTCCGTCAGGTTATTGCAGTTTACTCACATGATCACCAATTATAAAATTTATTACACTAGACAATTGTGTGCCTAGTACTCTTTCCTTGGGATTAAAGAGTTTGGAATACTTATTTATACACAAACTGCACGAAGACATGCTGGTCCCACTAATTTTCCTAAACTCTAAATTATTAAAAAAAAGCGTGGCTGATGTTTCTTCTTCACCTCAGTATATCCAGTAAAAAAACTGTGGTGAAGTCCTTTATGGGGATAAAGTTTCCAGAGGTGAAATTTTAGGTAGCACACAATTTCTTACACGCATGGTTGCTTTTCAGCACTCATGAAAGAAACTTAAGAAATATTTGAAAAAAAAAGTTCATATAGTACATTAATTTTGAAAGAAATAGCATATAATGTATGTACTCTGGTTAATAATATCAAAAAATGTGTTAGAACCACCGTTTAATGTTATATTTGATACAAATTAATATTGCTGCCCCGAACGCTCTGCGCCTTGCCACTGAATAATAGATTTACTTAAAATTACATCCCTGGTCCTTGTTCTTTCTGTATCGCATCGTGGTGAATTCACATTTCTCAGAAATTTGACAACAAAACAAAACAAAGCGAGTATTTTATTTGCTAATTTTTGCGATTTCTATTGTTTAATGTAAATTTGTCTTTTTAGGATATGTCGAGCCAACAAAGAAGGCGCAGTTGGAAAATTTAGTAATTAGTAATGAAGTAGCAGGCATATTTGGAAAATTATGCCGATAAGCAGGATGGAATTTGGGAAAGTAAGTGCATGGTTGCAGCATATCTATGTATAAAAAGTATTTAATTAAATTGTTTATAGAAATGTTATAAATCGATTTCGTAAATCGATTCATTTACGATGTGCTCCAAACATTTGACGAACTTTTTTTCGCCTTTTCAACGTGCTAAGTAACAAGTTAAGATGACTGCCATCATGGGCCGGTAAGAAACCGCAAGCAAAGGGCAGACAACCTTCCAGGAAGCTGCCTCCTGTCCCCGAGCCGAAGCTGCAGTTCAGCAAGAGCAGGTCAGCAAATTGCTACCCTGATCAAACGTAAACTAAAGCGCTCTGCTGTGATTGCACTCCGTAAATGTGAAAACTTGGTGCATGCTGAGAAATATCAAAAAAGAAAACTCCGTGATGGACGCCGTGAGATGGAGTAACGCTGTGTGGCAAAGAAATGCGGCCAATTCGACGGGCCTGAAAAATCCAAATTAAAACGGTGTGTTCGTCAAATTGAGCAAGGCAACCATTAATATGCTACGTATGCCGAACCCCCTATATGGGGTTATCCAAATCTTAAATCAGTTTGTGAATTGATGTACAAACGTGGAATGGTCAAGCGTGTCCCAATCTCTCCATTTACTATTTGTTCTTGCATTTTCCACACCACTTGTGAGGTATGCTTTTACGCGCGTTACCGATTTTTTTTTAATGTGCTCTGTTGCCCAGGAGGCCTATTTTCACCTTTACAACTTAACTTAAACAGAATTAAAACTAAAGCATGCAATATATAAAGAAAATTAAAAGTTGTCTTACATCTAGTAAACTTAAAAAATTGCACACTAAATTCATTTTTCATTATACAAGAAAATTAAATATCACAATTCAGTTTACAAAATGTGGTCTGTTTGCACCCACAGTAAGTTCCCATGAAGCCTAGCCTAAATTCAGAATTGAAGAAAAAAACGAGCAAATGGGGTCGGAAACTACTAGCCCTAAAAGCATAATGTGGAAAATGTTTGAAGAGCTGCGAAATTGTATTGCAATAATAAAAATAACAGTGCTTAAATTAGAAGAAATGGTTTTTGTTTTGCTTTATAATTTTTGGGAATATTGGTTCAGATGGAATTTTTTTATTTGTTTGGTTTTTCAGCTCGTTAATGATGCACCCAGGGTTGCATTTACTATCTATGAAAATATTTCGTGAAGCCTTCCAAAATTAGCTCCGAGCAACTAAAAGTTGGTTAAGCTTAAATGAAATAGTTTTTTATTAAATATTTATTCCTGGTATTTAGTAAAAAACATCAATACTAATGTATGAAAAACAAAACATCAATGCTAATGTATGAAATGAAGTAAATAAAAATCTACGAATACATTCCATGAATATTTTGTCATAGAGCCATTATTAAATTTAGACATAACTTTGTCAGGCGTTGGTACCTACGTATATAGAATTAATGCGTTGGAGAGAGATAAATATACAAGTTCAACGCGCTAATTTAGGTATCCTTGTATGTATATACCTGTTACTCGTCTGGCATATACTCCAACTGCGAAAATAATGACAATTATAATTTATGTAGATCCCTGGATAAAATATTGTCACAAGTTACTTTCGGGAACTCACGATTGAAGTTTGGAATGCAATTTCTCAGAAACACGACTACAGATTTTCTCCAAAGTGTCGGAGAATGCTATGTACTAGTTCATGAAATTCTTAAATTATCTTATTTTTTTTAGTTTAGTGTCAACCATTTATGAGTTTAATAAAATTTTGTCGTATACGACATTTGTCAAAAAATTTGCAGTCAGTTTTAGTGATATACGCCAAAATGTGATAACAATTTTTATAAATTAACCATACTTTTTACTAATCAGCCTAATCGTGAGTTTCGCCCGAACAAAATTTCGCCAACAATTTTTTCATCCACCTGTAGTGAACACACGCAAACGAAAAGTGACCCGGTTCTAGAAAATGAAACTCATGATAAAGCTGAATATGTCGGAAACTAAAGAAGAACAGATAACTCTATTTGAAAGATCTTGATTAGTTTAGTACGACAGCAATACTAACGCAATTTGTACCAAATAACCGAAAAAATTTTAGTCAATTAGTCGGAAACTAACGAAAATTGTCAAAATGACGCTTCCGGCAATTTTCCATCCAGGCGACGATATTTGAATAGGTTTGTATAGTTACCAATAGTCAGTACTAATTTGTACTGGAACCTGCAAACTTTTACTGGAAAAGTGTATGATAACCCAAAAAATTTGCAAGAGAGCACTGAATCGAGAGCGTAACAACACGAGAGAGCTGCAAATTCTTGCTAGTGAAATTTTTACTAGCAGAAATTAGCTAGCAGAAGAAGAAGAATAAATGTCAAAAGAATATATAAAAAGTGGTGTTACTAGCTCAGTTGATTTTGTGTATGTGTTTCGCCGCACGGCTTCTGATATCAAATTGAAAAATTTTTTTTGAATTTCTACACACACTTACAGATTTTGACAGTTTATGCCGCCAAAGCGAAAACAAAATACATGTAAATTTTTGTTTTTGTACTCCTGCTATCACCTTATATTGATTCGCCTTGGCACAAACAAAAGTAAAATGAGTGGAAATCATAATATTAATGATGTACTGGACAGTGTAAGTGCTTGTGTGTAAAGCAAAGAGTTTAAAACTGATTTATAAATAGTAAAATGTTTACAGCAGATTGTCAAAGCAGTGCAACAACTTGCAAGTTTTTGCTAGTTTTGTGTTCAATAACCTCTTCTGCTAGTTTTCTCTTCTTCTCAATTTTACGCTCTATTTTGCTTTTACGCTCTCGCTGCAATGTTTTACTGGAGAAGTTACTATACAAACCTAATGTTACTCGCATATTTTCGAGCCTGTATGTAAATTTTCGGGAAAAAGGGTAAAAAGTATATTCATCTGCTGAAAAGATATTTTCGCAGATTCACAATTTATTTAAAATAAATCTATCAGCCCTATCTCCAATTCCATGTGAATAAATCTCTCCAGTGCTTAAATAATTTTCACCACATTAAATAGCTGCACAACACCCTAATTGCCGAAAAAGCGTTGCTTGCAACACTAGTCCTTTATGGGGACCAAACTTGGTAAAAAAAAATAGCTAAGTTTGTTTACTGGATATACTGAGTTCTTCACGTTCCATGTGCAACATTCACAGTCCGTGACTGACAACTTGGGTCATAAAAGTGCAGTCAGATGTTGCAATGACATATATTTCGGAAAGGCTGTCAAATTGTGTAATTTCAGAAAGCAATTGCATGAGCAGTCCTACCTTGTTTTTGTGTATGGTGTCTCTCGAAAAAGGTTTTTTTATTTCCAAAAAGCTTCACAGCACTTGAAGCAGAAATAAAAATGTCAATTGCAGGATAAGCAAGATGAAATATATATCCGAAATCGGTTGCCCTCTTTGAGTTACAGTCAAGCCTTGCAATTTTAATTTCGTAAACTGATTTCCGAAAAGTCATTGGGAGGTCTTTATGGCTGTTCACATGGGGAAATCAAATTTCTCTTTATCCCCTTTCAGACACGTCAAGTCTTGAAAGCAATTTTTGTCGCATTCTCTTTTGTGTTTTCTATTTGCTTCAAGACGCGTCAACTTTTATTGAATTCAAGTTCTTGGTTCTTTAACTAGGAATTAACAAAAGATCCAAATATCCCTCCCTTCTCACCCCCTTCGCCATGTAACGAGCAGAATTGAAAGCAAGGCAACGTGAAGTGAACTTTGTCGAAAAGTTGGAATATTGCAACGTTTGACCTACCATATGCAAGGAATGAAAATATTTGTTTAAGCTGGTTTGAGCCATACTGTGGTTTGAGCTTTTTGTTTGTTTCGTTCATGGTGGCAACACAGCTGATTTTCCGATTGGTAACACTTTTAAAAGAAATCATTCACTTTTGGTTATTTTAGTAATAAACAAATTGAAGAAATAGTGCAAAGAGATGAATGAAATTTTAATATTTGGAAGATGCAGAATTTGTTTGGAAGAAAAGAGTAGTCGTGGTTTTCTGCTAGAAGCGTTAGAAACTGAACATGCGCAGGTGGCTATTAAAACAAGCCAGAAACAGGTAGGCAATTTTTCTATTGCACCTTTGCCGCTATTAGAAATTGACCATTACTTTATTTTAGGTAAAAAAATGTTTATACAGAAACGAAAGGAAATGGTTACTAACTGAATATTTCTAATTGGGTGTGGTCACATTTTAAGCATTTTTACGCAAATAAAGACGTAACCAATCACCTGTTGAATGCCACCTGTAAGAATGCTAATTAGGAAGAAAGCACTGAAGAAAGGAAAATAAATATGTTTGTAAGATCATATACGCACACCGTATATTAAATGGCATTACGTCATGCTTTAATAGTTAATTATTGAATAATTTAAAAAGGAAATGTGCCTATGCATCAGCGTTGCCATTTTAGCCGTTTTCCGGCTAGATTTAGCCGGTTTTGATAGCAACCAGCCGGAGAAAATTCGATCTAGCCGGCAGCCGATTTGTTAGCCGGTTTGTAAAAAAAAGTTAGCCGTTTTTAGCCGATTTTACTATTTGCCTAATTTTCAGGTGCAAAAAGTAAACAAGTTGTTCGAAAGCAATAATGCAGACCTAATGAAGATTTTTAATGAACTCAATGTTTTACTTTCGCATCTATGCTCCCTAGTGGTTATTAGCGCGGACACATTTGATCCTATATGCTCCCCGTTGGAACCATACCTTGCTCCATTTCCTCAGTTTTATCACAGTTTTGAAGAATATTTAAAAACAAAAGTAAGCACAAACGCTTTTGACCACGAAGCCGAGAAAATAATTCGAGAAAATGGTCGCTATTTTATTATCACTTTAATAAAGGAATTACGCCAACGCCTCCCTACAAATATTGCCACACTAAAAAAAATTGACTTTTTTCGGTTGGAAATGCATTAAGAGTAATTAAACCAAAAGTATTAGTTCAACTACAGCAACAAAAACACAAATATAACGCCGACGAAATAACATCCATAGAGATGCAATAGCAACGGTTAACGTTACATACCTGGAGTAATTTAGACTCAACTGTAAATTTTTGGGCCGAAGTTTATCAATTTCGAAATGCCCTAGGAGAAAACCCTTTTGCTGACCTTTGCAACCTAGTTTTTAGTTTTCTTGTTTTGCCTATAAGTAATGCAGAAGTAGAGCGAATATTTAGTTCAATGAATATAATAAAAACTAAGCAAAGAAATCCAATGTGTGTTAAAACGTTAAACGCTATTTTATATATCAGATACGGTTTAAAACGAGAAGAAAAATGCTGCCATAATTTTACTGTAGATGACGATCTCTTAAAATTAATGAATTCAGGTGATATATACAATAGTGATTCATTTGATGATGAGGAATATACACTCGATATAAATTAATGGTGTTAATTAGTCTTTCGTTTCTTGCGATTTATTTAAATAAAGCATATGGATTTTCACTAAAACATTTTAGCCGTTTTTAGCCGCTTTTTTTTTGCCAATCTAGCCGGTCGGCCCAAAAAGTTCTGGCAACACTGCTATGCATGTACATACATACATATATTTTTACAGTTTTTTTTTACCGGCTGTTTATTGCTAAGCCAATATTAAACCATGCCCTATTTTCAGCTTGTAACGTTTTGCTCCACTGGCATGTTGACCTGCAGCGAGTGTGCTACTGAAACAAATATTCGTTCCAAAGCAACAGATATTTTTATGCAAAACGAAGAAACGATTGTTAGTGAAGATGATTTGGATCTACATGATTTAAATGAATGTGTGGGCGAAGAAGTGGAATACATTTTGCCCATAAAATCCGAACAATTTTCCAAAGTTGCTTCATCTAATTGTCACGACATTTCAATCGCCAATGAGCTTACTATCTACAAAAGAGGTGCGGGACGTCCGCCCAAACGTTACGACACACTATTTCAATGTGATCTATGCTGTTATGTCACCGCTTATGCAAAATATTTCCGCACTCACATGTCAGAGGCTCATCGAGAGGAACAAGCGCGTATTTTCAAATGCCCACAATGTACAGAGGCATATGTGGAGGCGCGTTGTCTTCGAGAGCACATAAAACATGTCCACGAATGTATACCACGCAAACCAAAATTACTTTGCGCAGAGTGCGGCAAAGGTTTTCCCAAGCAATCGCATTTACGACGTCATTCCTATGTGCACAATCCCAATGAGAAGCCTTTCTTGTGTGAGTACTGCCCTATGCGTTTCGCGAGTCAGTCTACCTTGACACGTCACATTGATGGTGCTCACAAAAAGAATAAGCCGCATGCGTGTGAGTTGTGTGGTAAAGCTTTTGGGCATATTTATGGACTGAAGGCGCACAAACAAAAGGTGCATGCAAAGGATGCTCAATAATGTGTAAATAGTGAAGGTACTGTTTCTATTTTTGGCAATATACGAAAATATACATACATGCTATAAGTAGACAAATTAAAATGTTCACACGTTTAGGGTACTCATCGTAAATGTTTTTTGTTTTTTGGAAATTTCAAGACCTTACCCCCATATTTTATTCGTTTTTATGTGAAATATTATTGCCTATTTTTATAGATTTTTTAAAGGTCATACTACCATATTTCTTAATTTTTTAAAATTTTCACTATCGATAATTTCCACAATTTCAAAATATGAACTACTATTTAAAATTAAATATATTTTTAAATAAACTGATAGCTCATTTATTGCAATCGCTTAAAAATTGTCGAAGTTAGGCGACTTTTCTTATATACGGCCTTGAATATATACTGTTTATGTACTGGTCTTTCAGATTTTTTGAGCAGTGTGGCTAAGGAATTCATCAATATTTATTCAAAATTTATATTTACAATCGCTCTTTAGCAAAGAAGTAGTTTTTCAAGAAATTTTAGGAAAAGGATATATGCGTATCTCAAAAACTACTTGACCGATGTCGACCAGATTTGGTATACACATTTATGTTTTGACCTAAATCGACAGGTCGCGAAATGACCTTTAAAATATCTATAAATAAAAATAGGCAATAATATTTCTCATAAAAAGGAATAAAATTAGGGGGTAGGGTCTTGAAATTAAAAAAAAACACTTTCGGTGGGCACCCTAAAGTAAGTGTTGAAATACATATGTAGGCACCATGCCTACACGAAACGAAAGACTTAAGGTGCAAACGCGAACAAAAGAAAAGTCCAAAACGAAATTTGAAACATATTCATACATACATACATAGTGAAAAAATATAAAGTGTGCCAGATAGCAATGACATTCTATTCCGGTACTCTTATTTGACAATTTATTATCAGAAAATTTTCTTTTAATTGACTTTCACGTTAACCCTTTTGAGTGAGAACTTATGTATTTTTTTGATTTGAATAAAGAACTAAAGAAAAAATGCCAAGAAATTCTTGCCGTTTGTGCAAAAGCACACATAGCGTTGTAGTATTGATGTTTTCAGTCGGAAGGTTGAGGATCTAAGCCGAAATTGGACAGAGGTATGCAACAAAACCAAGGGTTAACGCCAGATTTGAAAAAGCGAACACCAGAAATGAAAGAAAAAATAATAACAAAATCAAATTTTGCTTTCAAATATGAAGACGTCAGTTACCTGGTACACTTTGCATACATACTACATATTTTTGAAAATATATTTTTATACAAAAATTGAAGAGTGTTATAACCGAATTTTGACTGGTAAAAAGTAAAGTTTAATATTTTTAGCTTTAATATTATTTCACCTGCATACTACATACATATTAGCGTGGGTCGAAAACTTTCGATTGGTAATAGCAAAAATATGGTTCATTATGCTCTAAAAACAATCTGTGTGAAAGATGACAATTTTTGGTCAATATCCTAGGCTCGCCCCAGTCTATCAAAGTTCATGTGCTAAAAAAAATTTTCTTAGCTTGCTTCGATTCTCCTAAAATTATGTACTTTAGAAGATAATTGCAATTTTAGTAAAAAAATGTATTAATCAATGTAGTTATTAAATTTTATTTTTTGAGCACATTGAACTTTGATGGACTTGGGCGAGCCTAGGATATTGACCAAAAATTGTCATCTTTCACACATATTGTTTTTAGAGCATAATGAAACATATTTTTACTATTACCAATCAAAATTCTAAAAAAGCGGATTTTCGGCCCACGCTAATACATATTGTCACTACGCTAACAAAAACAGTTATGTGCTTTTAAATAACTTTGTAGGAGAGCAAAAAAACTGATTCCTGGTGCCAATAGGCAATGTTTTGCAAATGTCGTATTAAAAAAAATATATATATATTAAAAATATGTTATTGATTTATGAAACAAAAAAACATTTTTTTTTACCAATTACGACGTGATCAGCATTTGCACCGCTTTAAAGCACATAGATGTTTTTATACACTATTTATATTTTGTCGGTGCGCCAACAAAAACAGTTGTGTTTTTAATAACTTTTCCGGAGAGCAAAAAAACTGATTCCTGGTGCCAATAGGCAATGTTTTGCAAATGTCGTATTAAAAAAAAAATTATATTAAAAATATGTTATTGATTAATGAAAAAAAACCACATAGCTGTTTTTATACATGCCGTTAGGCCTAGATGCAATGTATAGAAGTTGAGGACTCGAATAGTTAACTGCCCGTTGCTCCTGTTATGTAATGAAAAATGGTCAGAAATGTTTTAATTGGATTTTTGTAATAAAAATTAATGCAAAGAGGTGAGTGGACACATATTTTGTACAAACCATGAAATTGCCAGAGATGCGAACTGTTTTTTCGGTCAGTGTATTAATTTGACCCAGTGCACTTTTTCAAAGTTTCGATGGGTGATATCCAATGAAAGCTCGTATATACAAGAAATAATTTCAATATAAATATAATTGAATTTTAATTAAATGCTTTCACATTTGTACACATTATGCAAATTTGCATAACATAATAAATTGCATAAAAATGTAAAACTAAGTATATATCGAGGTAGATTATCATAAAACGAATGGAAATCTTTGTGTATATATTGCTTTAACGTTTGAAAGCTGTTGTGTTTAGCTGGATAAATTTTTTTTTTGACCATCGTACAATAGCTTCGTTTCGTATTGCTGTAATAACAGAGCTCGTGTTTGTGGCAATGATGTCCAGCAGTCGGTATGACGCAACTTGAATTTGACCATTTACATAAAGCAATCCTCTGATACTGCTTACTGATGCTTTCCCAGGTTTTTTACCTGGCCTTCTTTCTAGTTGTATATTTAAAAAAAAAATGTATACTCTAAATAATTAATAATATAAGGATGTGATGGCCTCGCATGTCGCATACGACTTATGTAGTCCATTGGTGAATATATCTAATGTAGAGTGGACGCTGTCTAGCTCCACACTTTTTACCTTTGTTAATTGTTGGATTCCGATTGTAAGCGATCAAAATAAATAGTAGAATCTATGTAGTGTAAGCGGTATGTGCATCGATATGTGTGTATGCATTTAGTTGGTTTATAAATATTTTTTATATCCTAATCAAAGCACACTCATCAGATTCGCCTGCGATTAAAAACAGTTATAAGGAAGTAAGCGTATACCCGTTTTTTATACTTTTCATGAGCATGAAATGGTATTATAACTTTGGTGCGATGTTTGTAAGTACCAGAATAAGAAGAGATAAACCCATTAAAATGTATACTTAAATAATCAGAACATCGAGCTGAGTCGATTTAGCCATGTCCATCTGTCTGTCTGTCCGTCTGTTTGTATGCAATCTCGTCTCTCAGTTTTCGAGATATCCGGATGAAATTTGGTAGGTGGGTGTATTTTTATAATGTACTAGTAAGCCCGGACAGACGTTGTCCTGCTACACACCGATACATAGGCAGGTTACATGCATCGTAGACATTATGGTTATAGCGTAAACGAACATAGTGACACGGGATTTTTATATAATAAGATTAATCATTTGTCGGAACCGGAAGAATCGGACCACTATAACATATAGCTCCCATACAACTGATTATTCAGATATGAGAAATTTCGTTATAACTTCTCCATTTATGCAGCTGGGAACATGAAATTTTGCAATACTTCCACCCATTATCAACAGAAAACTTATAGTGAAAATTACAAAGATCGGGTCACTATAATCTATAGCTCCCATACAACTGATTGTTCAGATATAAGATTTTTCGTTATAACTCCTCCATATAAGTAGGTAGGAACATGAAATTTTGCACTGTTATCACTCATTATCAACAGAATACTTTCAGTGAAAACGGCGAAGATCGGGTCGTCACATAACCGTTTTTATTGGCGCAGCGACGATATGTATGTACATATGTAAATATCCTTTGTATGAACTTACTGTACGCGTACTTATGTATACAAAACTGTGCACGTTTTTGAATCTCAAAAGCAATTAATAACCGAGTAATCTCAATAGAATATTACATATAATTAATTTAATATCAGTAATTCGTCCTTGTCTTTTATAGAAAATTAGAACTGTTAAGAAACTACAGACATTCCAATTTTTCTACGGAAAAAGGTAAATTTAAATTCTACCGTCCTTAAGTATTCCGCTTAAAAAATCTTTATGCAATAAATTTTTACCGAACAATGTATTAACTTTATACATATTTATCATACGTATACTTTTATGTAATTTTGTAAACTTATGTATGAACGAAACAAATAAATAAATTTTTAGTCCATTTAACTTTACACTTTTCTAATGTTATGGATTGCAGGCGATAGTATTTTTTTAATGTAACCCTATTGTGGGTCAATTCTGTTGACATAGCCATTGCTGAGACTTGGTGTAGTATGTAACAAAGCAAGGCCAATGATATTTTCCCTTTTTCTAGATTGGCGCGTGCTCTATATTCTTACAAGCATGCATAAATGAGTAATCAAAAAGTAGTTAACGAAGTTCTATGATCAATGGAACGTTCGTAAATGTAAACATAGCTATGCACATTCATATATGTATGTAAGTATGTTTTTATGTTTGTATCAAGTGGCTAGAGGGTATGAGTTAAGTTTCTTTACATACATACATACATGCATACGTTATTATTAAAAACTTGGCAAAATATTAGATGGCGCGTCGAATAATTATCAGCATAAATTAACCTGAGCAAATAAAATGAGCCTCACTTCAATGCACTCGAGCTCAATTTAATGGATAAACCGAAGCAAACTGAATCATTCAATAAACAATAACGCTATTTATTTAAAAATTGTCTACTCGTCAGATTGTATGTATGAATGTAAGTACATGCATATGCGCTTCAGCAGCATTTCTGAATGACGAAGATTTTATGTACATATGTACATATGTAAGCAACGAATTTCATTCATAAAAACAACAAAAACCCTCACCTCTTCAGCTTAAACTACCACCCATGGCATTACGGATAGATACTTGTGCAAGCAAAGAAGAGATTTTCCTCCTACATACTTATATGCTGTCTTTCCCTGTAGGAAATATACTGAATATGCAGCCGCTCAACAGGAATATTGGCTTCGGAAAGAAACCGTCCCTATCAGAAATTTTGTAGTTGA